CCCAAAGTATGTTAGACAAAGCCTCAGAATCCTTGCCTCCAAGGAGGAGCCTGCTTTTACCCTCTCTAGGATGAACTTGTTTGTTCTCCTGGCAATCCATGGTATATTCAACACTCTTCTCCAGCACCATAGGTCTAAGGCATCAATTCTCTATCATCTCTAATCATTGTTCAGTTCTCTGATGCATAGCAAGCCATTGCAAAGACTATGGCCTGGGTCAGGCACACTTTAGTCTCCAGACCGATGTCATTGCTTTTCAGTACTCTGGAAAGGTCCCTCCTGATAGCCCACTTTACCAGTGCATTTGGTCTCTTGATTTCTTGGCTTCTGACAGAAGTTTATTTTGTGCTCACTTAACGTCCAAACAGCAAAAGAGCTGTGTTTCACACAGTTTTTCTGATCCAGGGGCACAAACTCAATATCACCTTGGACCTCAAGGTCTGGCTGACAGGGAAGAGTGACAGTTGTGTTTAAGGTTATTTTTATGGGCTATTCTGGAAGTGGCTCACATTATTTTAATTCACATTCCATTGCCAAGAACTAGTCATATAGTTCAATTGCATTATTGCTAGGTGCTGTTGAGTCCTAATGACCCTATGCAAAATGGACCTGAACCCAGCCCTATCCTGCACCATCGTCAGCATCTGACACACTAGAGCTTGTTACTAAAGTCAATGAATCGGCAAGCTCTAGTGGCCTAGTGGCAAGAAGCTGCAGTGCAATCCCAGAGGTGTGTGGTTCCAATCCAGATGCTCTGCTGGAGAAGGAGGGACCATCTCCTCCTGTACCAGTCAGATCTGATTTGACGGTATACTAGAAATTAAAGAAAAAAAGTGACATCTAAAGTCATGGAGTCTGTCTATCTAGTTGTAGGCCTTCCTCTCCTTCACTAACCCTCCATATTTTCAAGCATGATGTCCATTTCCAAGGAATAAGCCTCATGTAGTTACATATCCAAAGGATGAAAGATGAAGCTTCGCTGTCTCTGCTTCCAGGAGGCACTCTTGCTGATCTTTTTCTGAGACATACCTGTTTGTTCTTTTGGAAGTCCATGGGATATTTAGGACTCTTCTTCAATACTACAACTCAACAGCATCAATCTTCAACAGCATTAGAGACTAGGAAATATGGAGCATGGCTAGGATCCACTTCCCAGCGGCAGCTCTGTATTACAGAAGGGGAGCACACATCTTTGCCAGAAAGCTGCCCTTTTCTGAAGTCTTTTTCTGATGTTCTTTCCCAGCTTCCAAAACATCTACCTCTAACTACTCTGAAGTCTTCTCCTCCATGACGCAGAGATGAGCTGCCTGAAAGACATGCTACTATTGTCTTTGCAAATCAATACACAATACACATAGGACACCTACCAAAGGCAGTTAAATGAGATTTTTCGCTGAGTTTACTTACATATTGGATTTTGTACACCCCAGCTATGAGTACTATGCTGTAGATTTAAGTAACCATCAAAGAAGGATCAAGGGGGTTTTTTTCTATACTTGAAGACTAGAGCTACTTCACTTGATATGCCTGTTCTTGAACTTTGAATAAATATAAAATAAATATAACCATACAGCATGT